TTCGGAACGGTGATTTAATATTAAAAACAACAATTTTGTTAGTTTTTAAACAAAAATTCGCCTCTGACATTCGGAATGGCGTTTTAATGTTAAAAAAAACAACAATTTTGTTTTTTTTAACAAAAATCTGCGTCTGACTTTTGGGACGGCATTTTATTATTAAAATTTAATTTTTTTAATAATAAATGCTGCGTCCGACTTTTGGGGTGGCATTTTAATATAAAAAATTAATAAAAATTGATTTTTTTATTAATAAATGCCATGTCTGACTTTCGGGGCGACATTTTTATATAAAAATAAAAATTTTTTTAATAATAAATGCCGCCTCCGACTTTCGGGATGGCATTTTGTTATAAAAATTAATTAAAAATTAATTTTTTATTAATAAATTTCACCTCTGACTTTCAGGGCGACATTTTAATATTAAAAATTAACAAAAATGAATTTTTTAATAATAAATGCTGCGTCCGACTTTCGGGGCGGCATTTTATTATTAAACATTAATTTTTTAATAATAAATGCTGTGTCCAATTTTCAGGCAGCATTTTATTATTAAAAATTAAACTTTTTTAATAATAAATGCCGTGTCTGACTTTCAGGCGGTATTTTATTATTAAAAATTAAACTTTTTAATAATAAATGCTGCGTCTGACTTTGGGGTGGCATTTTTATTTCAAATCCAACAAATCAAATCTGAATCCAAATCTGAATCCGACGGATCGAATCTGAATCCAAATTCAAATCCGTCGAATTGAATCAAATCCAAATCTGAATCTGATCTGGATCTGATGGATCAAATCAAATCAAAATCTGAATCTGAATCAGATTTTTTGCGAAACACTAGTTATAAACTTTAAAATAAAAAAAATTTAACTATCTTTCCTTTTCAAATGGATGACTTAGAACGAGACTGAAGCTACCTGACTAGTAATAAAAAAAAGATGGTCATTCGTGTCTATCAATACTTTTTTGATATCTGACAGAATAAGAAGCAGCATCAAGACTTACCACTACGCAAGGAGGTTGCTATGGTCCTTGAAATTGGGAAGACAACAGTTGCGCAAGTAATTTCTGAGTACAATAAAGATAAATGTAATGAACAGTTATCACAAAAAATATATGGATGACCAAAAAAGAACTTAATGACAATATTGTTAAAGTTATACGTACCTCTATTATGTCTTCTAACTGTTCTGGCTTGCTACTTTCAACAAATAAATTGTGACAGGAGCTTGAAGAAAATGACTATACACTTTCAAAATGGCAGTTACTTTGTATACTTCACAAGCTAGGATATTATTTTGGTCAGGATGAACGTCGAAATATATTGCATGAATCTTCTCAAAACATTGCATTTCGTGATCATTATTTATGGTATCATTTTGAAAATTTGCAGGAGCAAAATAATGTCCCTTCTAGACCAGAAGTATTCTTAAATGAATCATATTGCCACTTATATCATACTACAGGTCGTACTTGGGTGCCAAGTCATGGGTTGTATATTCACTTGGGCGTAGACCTCTAATCGTTATTTTTGATGCGATAATTGTAATGCGTAATGGTAATTCTAATAAACTTTTTGGCAAAATTATTTCTAATTCTCTTTTATTATGGGATCCCTCAATTAAACCACCTTCATCAAGAGGAAGAAAACGGGCTAATGCTGATGCCTTGGATAATATTCCTGATGTATTCGAAATTCCAATATTGTAGCTGATCAAGTTGATTATGGCAATTTTACAGCTGAAATATTTGAAAACTTGTTTGATAAACTTTGCGCTAACATTAAAGAATATTATGAGTCAGTTGATATTCATATGGATAGTGCTAGGTATCACAAGCGCTGAGTTGAACAAGTGCCAACATCAAACTCAAAAAAGGATAAGATGATCGAATGGTTATTATCAAATGGCGTTAATATTCCAGAAAATTCTAATAAGGCAGAACTTTATTAATTAATAAAATTACACAAAAATAAGGTTCCTTTTAAGTGCGTTCAAATAGCTGCAAAATATAACCATAAATTGTTTTTTACTCTACCTTACCATTGTGAACTTCAACCGATTGAGGAAGTTTGGTCAACTGTAAAAGGTGAAGTTGCTAGAACTAACACCTATTCTAATCTTTTAGCTATTAGAGATAAATTATTGCATGCTTTTAAAGAAAAGGTTACCTCTAAAGTTATTGTCAGATTTTGAAAAAGGGCATTTAATAAGGCCAAAGAATATAAGGATTTAGATGATGATATGTTATTGACCGATAATGATGACGAAGATTTCGAGATTGACGAAATTGATGATTAATAAAATTTTTTGTATTGAACTTAAAACTATAATAAAGCTTATATTAAATTATACCTTAAAACCTAAATTATAAATAAAATTATTTAATAATTTACATTAAATTTAAAAAAAAAAGTTTTATTATAAACATATAGGTGTATCAATCTTTTTGCACCGGACTATAATACTGTATGTAATGTCCAACCCTTCTTTCCAAAAAATTCTTGTTTAGTTTCACGTGCAGTTTTGGATAATATGTTCATTTTATAATCTACAACTAATATTACTCCATCTTCATTTAAATCCAAAAGAGCCGCATTGAACTGTATATTTAAGTAAGTCTTTCTCATTTGATATGCAAGGTAATAAAGAATACGATCTTGAAGTTCTTGAATTTTTTCATGGTATGATAAATCCAATTTGACTTTTAAATCTTGAAAAAACCAAAATATTTCTTGGAATTCATTACAAGCATAAGTATGAGATGTATTACACTTACCAAATGCATACAAGAAGCAATGATTTATACACGAGTTATAAGATGTAATCCCACAGTCAGTTATAACTAAATGTTTCTTATATTCTTTTTTAGATAGCATTTTAAGAGACAACAACGTTGAGAAAAAATGCCCTACAAATTTATTGTTTATTATTATTATGTATATCAAATTTTCTATAATTTTAATAAGAATTGATTATATCTGCAATTCTATATCATTTATTTTTTCCTTTATTAAATTCACAATGTCTTTAAATGTTTCATATCTATATATGCTATATGTAGAACACAATCCTCCAAGATCTTTCCGGTAAATATATTGTTGTCCCATTAGTTGAGTATAAAAGGTTGTGCGCTTAATTCCATTTGGAAAAGAATCTTTGAATTTTTCCCACATATGTTTTTTGTATTTTTTAATAAACAACTGGTTTTCCTGTTTTAATATCCATTTTATAAGAACTCATAATAACATGAGCTTTATCTTGAAAAAAAGAATCAATTTGTTTTTGCTTTTCAAAAGTAATTCTTTTGACTTTTCTAGTAGGTTTTTCTATTATTACACAACCAGAATCATTTATTCTTGCGTATTTTCTTACTTTAAGAATTGTACCCTGTGTGCCCTATTTGAAGGCATATATTATTCAATATATTTTAGATTTTTTTTTGTTAGTTTTTATACTTACTTTCAATCTTTTCATCAAAACATTATAAGAAAAATTTTCCGATATAATAAAAAGAATCCTCCTTTTTCCATCATATCCTCTTTTATTAGCTTCTAATGCTTGATAAAAACAATTCCAAAAGGTATCGCCATCATTGCAATATTGCAATATTGGCCAAAAAATGGATGCAAAAATCCAGATACATATAAAAAGTGTAAGATTTCACAGTCACATATAGGATCACTAGATCGCGTCCACAATGCGTACTACTAAAATTTATATGTAAGTAATTACTATAATTTTTATAAAATCAATTTTTTAAAAATTTACTTACCGGTGATATTTCTTTTATATAAGATGTAATATTGACACATCCAGCATGACTCAATATTGCTCATCACGCTTTTACTTCTCTTTCTTTAAGTATATAATTGAATGGATAAATTTTTTAAAGAGGTGGTGATTTCAATAACAGTTTTGTTTCATTAATCCATTCAATAAAAAATTCATTCTATTGAACAGAAGCTAATGTAAATTTTTGCAAATGATAATTCCATAAGGCTTGCATTTTATTAATAATATGACATTCTTCAGGCTGACATCTAGGTATAAGTAGTGTTTTAATAAATGTTTGAACTTGGTGATAGCTGATTCTAAATATATTAATGCCTTTATATTGTTGTAATATACCAACTTTTCGCCATACATCATTAGGATTATTTTCAACATGTGTAAATCGTAATTCAGAATCTTGATACATTTTTATTGTTGAATTTTTTTTATTTATCTTTTGTACAAATAAAGTTCTTTTTTATCTTTTCCAGTTGAATATATAAAAGAAGACTTAAAACCTAGACCCGCATAGTACAATTGTTCTTCAGATAATACACCAATTCTATATACAAATAACCAAAACTTTCCAAGAAAACAACAAAATGGATGAAAAATAACTCCCACCAAAAGTTGTTCACTAATTTCTGTTTTATCATGACCCATAATAAGAGGACCAGAGAACCTAGTATTATTTTTAAAAAGTTTTTGATAAAGTGTAGTTATGGCGGTCAAAGGGTTGTTAAAAATATTACTTTTTGAACCTTCTGCTTCACAAATATATCCTGGTTGTTGTAAAAAGCCAGGGTGGCCTTAAATAACAGTAACAATAAAATGTATATTTTGAAGAATAATTAAGTTTTTCATATTTATACGAATAGGATATAAGTTAGAAATTCCATTTGTATTATTTGTGCATCATGTTTCCTACTAATCTCGAGAAAATAGTCCATAATGTAAATTTTCATCCAAAACACCAGGAGAAACCAAACAAACTTGATATACTTTTCGTTTACCTATTATTTAATAAATTTCAAGTAAAAAATGAATTCAAAATAATTATTACTTTAACAAAACTTAAAAAAAGTCTACTTTTAGATAAGAGAGATATATATTAGGTAAAAAAAGATATATTTCAACCCAAAAAAAACCTCTACCAATGTATTTGACCAATATTTTGAGATGGGTTGTCCAAAAAGTGAGAGATTCTCAAAACGCCTCAAAAAAATGATAACGATTATCACCGTTAATATTAAAGATGATCGACATTTTTTTGCAGTTAAGTCACGTATCATGAATTAATTTAGATTTGATCATATATCATTCTTTGATTTGAATTTGATTGAATCAAATCGAATATAAATTTGAATTTGAATTTGATTTGATTTTCAAATATAATATTCAAATATTAAATCAAATTGCAGAACTCTAATAATAACAATGATTTAAAAATTCAAAATAATATAGATTTATTATATAAAAATGATACTTGGAGATGATGATGAAAGTACTAATGAAAATGATGAAAATGAAGTTAATATTTACTTAAAAATAAAATCTAATAAAATAATTATACCTTTAATTTAATAGGAAAATAACAAAATAAAATTTCCTTTTTTAAGTCAATTAACTAAAGAATATTTAGGAATAACAGCAACATCAGTTTCTAGTGAACATTTATTTTCAGTTATTAGTAATATTATTTTTAGTAAAAAAAAGTAATTTGAAACCAGTTAAAGTAGAGAAATGATTTTTTTAAAAAGAATGTAAATTTACTTTAAATTTATTAATTTATAGAGGGTAGTCATAAGTTACTGAATGTTTTTTCACCCAATATAAAACTTAAAAATTTTTAGCATTAATAATAAAAGGTCAAATAATATTTTATTTAGATATGGTTATGGCTTACATTTTGTACTAAGTAACTAACTAATACTTGGTCGGATCTCCCTTTTCTGCAATAATAGCCCGAATTTTCTGTGGCATGCTATCGACTAAATTTTTGATAGTATATTTTGGAATTTTTCGCTATGCCTTTTTAATATATCAGAAAAGAATGTAGTAATATACGCGGTTATTTGACAGTTTATTATTTATTTACATACCCTAAAAATTTGTTATTTTAGTTGTTTTGACTTAATTCAACTTACAGCTAATTTCATAATTCATAGACCATTAATAATTTTTTCAGTCGCATTCAATCGTAATATTTTCTAGTAAATTTATTATAAAATATTTTCAGTCGCATTCAGTCGCAATTTATTAGTAATTCGCAAATTATGAAATTAGCTGTAAATTAAATTTATTTCATAACTATTTTCTTCCAGAAATAAAAAAACAAAAAAATAGAACAAAAATGGAATTAACCCAAGAACAACGTAAAACTATATTTTACTATTGCTAATGTAGTGACAGTTACTGGACTATTGCAGATACTGTTAAGTATGGATTGTCAACTGTTCATGATACTTTGAAAAGAGTTCGTACTATAAAATTGACTGTAACAGTATCTCATTCTGAACGTCCGCTTTTAATTACAATTTCTCAATGTAATTATTTTAAATGAATCATAATAAACAATAAAACAAAAATCACTATCTATGCACTGCTAGAGTGCAACAACTTTGAAAGAGAAGTTTAGACAAGATATTTCAATATGAATTGTTAAATCTGCTGGATTGAAAAGTTGCATTATATGAAAAAAAGCCTTTAATTTTACTAGCAACATCGAAAAATATCTCTAGATAAAAGTGGATTGGTTAAAAGTCATATAGAATGACAAATCAACCTTCTCTCAATTCTAACAAAGTCACAATAGCAGAGTATATAGAGAACCAGAAGATGAGTGGGATTTATCTTATATTTAGCATAGTAAAACACAGTTTTAGTTGTATGTACTGAGGTTTCTTTTCACAAATGGATGTAAGACCGATTGTTTTATTGTTTGAGTCAGCAACTGGTAACTCACATGTTATCATTCTTCGTAAATATGTCATACAGCTATGAGAAAAAAATTTTCAAATAATAATGACTGATTCCAAGAAGATAATGCTCGACCTCACAAATTGAAGATTGCAATGTCATTTCAGGTGAAAAATGATCTTTGTACGTTAACTTAGCCAACTCAAAGCACCGATCTCAATCTTATTGAGAATTTGTAGACTAGGGTAAAGAAAAGCATTTGTACATATAAAAAACTAACATCCAATTTTTCTGTTTTTGACTGATATATTAAAAAGATATGGCAAAAAATTCCAAAATATATTATTAAAAATTTAGTCAATATTAGTGATATCTAACTAAACTTTTTTTTGAAAAATTGTAATTTCATCAAAAGTTTCATCTCTTATATGAATAAATATAAAATTATTATATTTTTTAATGTATTTTAATTCAAGGAATTTAGATCAAATTAAATATAATTTTGGCAATTAAGTAAAATAATTTCATCATTAATAAAAAACTAGTTTTGTCATTTCAGTTTTGTCAATTTTGTCATATTAAGAAAGGTAATTTCGTCAAGTATCACTAGTCGATAGCATGCCATGGCAAATTCGGGCTGTTATTGAAGTAAAAGGAGATCTGATTAAGTATTAGTTACTTAGTACGAAATGTAGGCTATAACCATATCTAAATAAAATATTATTTGACCTTTTATCATTAATGCTAAAAACTTTTAAGTTCTATATTGGGTGAAAAAAGTGTTTAATGACTTATGATTACCCTCTGTAGTTGTATTTTGAATAAATAAAATTTTATTTTACAAACATAAATATATTTTATTAAATTTTTTATCATTTTTGAATTATAATAAATTAAAATTATACTAATATAATTATTTGTAGTAATAAATTAAAATTTCTATTGAAAAACATTTAAAAATAAAAATAAAATACTAAATATATAATTTACTTTATTTGTAGATTTACTAAAAATCAGAAACCTAAAGAATTCAAAGATATATTTAATTATCTAAGAAAATGAAAGATCAGTTTTAAAAAAGAAAATAAAAAAAATTAATAAAGAATCAAAAATTATTCTAAAGGAATTTTCAAAGAACTAAAATACTTTCATAATTTATTCAAGAAAATAAAGGATCTATTTCTAAAAAAAAAAAAAAAAAAAGAATTATTAGTAGAACTTATCTAAAGAAAACTTTAAAGAATCTATTAAAAAAAAATTACTGATCTGATTATGTGAAAGATCTATTTCTAAAAAAAATAAAAGTATTATTAAATTAGTAAAAAATGTATTTTGAAAAAAATCTTAAAAAATAACAAAGAACTCATTAAAAAAAACTTACTAATCTGATCTTGCAAAAGATTTATCTTAAAAAAAGCAAAATATAATTAATAAAAATCAAAAAACCATCTCTATTCCTTAAACTATCTAGCGGGCAAATTTGTTTGCTAAAATTAGTTTTAATTAGCATTTGTATAACCATTTAATATTTGCCTAATTAATTCTTTACCTTTTTCTAAATAAAAATAAAAGTATATTATTTATTACCTTGCTGATCATCATATGATTTCCTCTTAATATATTTTTAATCTTTTTTTTTAACGATATTCTAATTTTTATATTCCAAAATAATACTTTTAAAAAGTATGTCTTCTATAGCGGGACCAAGTATGCCATTCATAACCTCCTAATTTTGAATACTTTGTTCATTCAAAACTATTACACCAGGCTTTTGTTAATTTGTTACCAAATTATGAAACTAATTTTTCCAAATCAATCAATATTTTTATTTTCTTTTTTTTACAAATTCTATTTTAGATACAATAGTTATTAATACAAATTTTTATGTTTTAACAAAAAATACTAGTACTATTGGCAGAAAATAGCAAGAAATAAATCATAAAGAGCTTCTTATTTAAATAGCTCTGATTATCTATCAAAAATTTTTTAAGTTACTTTTATTTAATCAATATTGAAATGAAGATCCCATTTATTATATAGAAGGCAGTCAGTAGAAAAGGGGGAAATCCAAATTTTGGTCAAAATTTATATTATTGGACCACTTGGCTGATCTAAGTCATATGCACAAAATTAGCTTAATAATTAAAATTAACAAAAATTTTGGATTTTTTCCTTTTCTACTGATTGCCTTCCATATTTTAAAATAAATGTTATTAAAGCAGTTTGAACAAATTAAGAGATATTTACATATTTATTCTTCTATAGTTATAATTAATAATTATTTTGAAAAGTTAGAATCACTGCTTTCAAAAGTTTGTGATATTTCAAAACAGTTTAACACTTTAAATTCAAATATTTCAATTGATGAGATGATAATATGATTTTCTGGAAGGAGTATTTATATAGTCAGAATAAAGAATAAACTAACTTTTAAAAGTTTCAAAATTTTATCACTTTGTGATTCAAGATACATATATACTTTTTGCTAATGTCACATGTCTCTCTAAGTGATGTAATAAGAATAAATAATCTTAATTAAACTGATTACCTTGTTCATCATCTTATTATATAATTTCTGTATCAGCGATTTTCATTTAACATTTATATGAACAATTATTTTTCTAATGTTTTTCTTTTTCAATATTTTTAGCAAATAGATATTGGTGCTTATGGAACTATTTAAAAATCTGCTATTGAATTTCCAAAGAACTAAAAATAGATAAATGTATCAAACTTAATTAGGATGTTTGTTCCAGTGTTATAATAAATGGAGTATTGACCATTTTTTGGCAAGACAATAGACTGGTTACTATGTTATCAACAATTCATTATCTTATTAGTGAAGAATAGAAGGTAAAATAAGAAAGACAATAACTAAGAGTAACAAATACAAATACGACAAATGTATTTTTTTTTTACAAATATTTTTATTATTTTAGTTTTTTTATTTTAAATTTATATTTATATTTATATATTCTTCTTTTTCAATTCCTTTTCCTTTTCCTTTCTCTTTTATTTTTCTTTTCTTTTCATTTTTATTTTTTTCTTTTTCCTTTCTGTTTCTGTTTCTGTTTTCATTTTCATTTCTATTTTTATTTTATTTTATTTTTCTTTTCTTTTCTTTTCTTTCTTTTCTTTTTCTTTTTTTCTTTTCTTTTCCCTCTTCTCTTTCTTTTTTTTTGCTCACTTAAAAATGTGTGCAATATTTGACTCTGAATTAAAAAAAATTACTAATCCCTAAAGTGATTGATAATTACAATCATAATATGAATAATGTAGATATTACTGATCAACTAAAATCATATTACAATATACAACAAACAGTACGAAGGAATTGGATGTCTATTTTATTTCTAACTATTAGATATCATAATTGTTAATATTTATCAAATTACCTAAATATTAGGATCATTAGGATCAATTTAAGAATAGAAGAAACTTCACCATAAACTTATTTGAAAACTTATTGAGTTTGTAAATGATACAAGAGAATTTCAATTGGGAAGTTATTCAAAAAAGAAACTAATAAAGAAATGAAGAAAGAAACTTAACGGCCAAAGGTAACAAAAATTTTCAAACTCTCAAATCAACAGTTGGTACTTGAGAATCATTTTGCTAAATAAAAAAAGAAGTGAAAAATATGTAAATGGTATACTTAGTTAGTAAGTAAAGAACTTTTAAATATGAATTGTAAAATTCTATATCATAGTCAACTTTGGTATATAATATGCAATGTATCTCTTTGTTATCCCTTTAATGGTTTTGCAGGCAAATTTGCCTGCAATTTTGAAATTAATAAT